AGAACTCCTATTGTGCAGAGTCACCTGGAAGTGCGCCCACATTGTTTCTCCTTCCCATCAGGACACTGCACTCTCCAGGAGCCTCCGTAGGTGTGGGTTGAGGGGGGCTGGTGGTGGGTGTGAGTGAGGGGTCTGCATGTGGTGTTTCAGCTCAAACCCACACACGCCATCCCTTTCTGTTGATGGAATGTTCCTGGAATCCCACCCTGTGGGTTTGTGTCCAGAAAGAAAAACAGGTTCCAATGGGAGAAACTTTCTGTGTTGGGTTGGGATCTCCGGGATGAGAAGAAGCTGTCTTGCACTGCTATTTTTTTTTTTACTGGTTTTCCTAGTAATGACTGCACCTGCTTACCAAGGATGACAATTGATATATACAAAGTTGGTCTGCTTCCAGCTGAGAAAAACAGTCGTATGCACACATGGGGTCCTCAGAGCCAACTCAATGACAACCAAGAACCAAGTGACCCAAGTTCAGTGTTTATTGATACAGTTGGCCTCCTGCAAGATAATGACCTAACGTTGGAACTTTGGGACCATTTTCCAGCCTATTTCTTTCTTTCTTTTTTAATTTATTTTTTATTGTGAACTGAGTGAACATTGAGAACATCGGCTTTACACCATCATTTCATTGCAGTGATTACAATCTCCTCCATGCATCATCAGTTAACAGTATTTGCATCCATTCCCTCTGGTTTGTTTGTTTTTGTTTTTTGAGGGGGTAGAGGGATGTACAGAAACAGTCAGGAATATATAGTAATTTAAACAATCAAAGGGCACATTCTGTAAGCCTGCCTGTTGGCCGCCAGCCCTCAGTCCCTTTCTTTCCATGAGTCCAGAGTCCTCAGCTGCTCCCTCTCTCCAGGTCCCCATCTCTGGTGTCGTTGCTTCTCTGGATAGGGTCTCACACTCCGCTTGTGCTCTTCTCCCTTGATGGTCCTAGGGTCCTCTGTTTCTGGACTGTAAGATTAAGTACTTCCCCTTTTTGTTACAAAACTTCTACCTTTACAGTTGTGACAGTCACAATTAGTCATGATA